AAAATCCAGAAAAAAATAACTAAATCTTTATCACCATCTAACCTAAGCTATTAACTTAGATCGTGAGAAAAACTAGTATTTACAGCATCTGTGACTTTAATTGCAATTTAAATATTACACGGTAGGCAAGGAAACTGAGAATTGACTGTGGAACGAAGGGCCTTTGCATACCTATTGGATATTTGTTTTTTTTTAAATAAATACCTTTCATCATATTCCATATAAAGCCTTCACGAAATGAAAATTTTAAAATTTATATTAATGTAGAAATATAAAAGTTCTTCTTTGATCTAATATGTAAAAGTTACTTAGCAAATATTCTAATAACTAATAACGTTAAAATTTAGTTAAAATACATGTTTCGAAAATTTCATTTGTATGAATAAATTGATAATTCCATAGATAATACTTTCTTAGATTTACGCGAATATTTGACATTTTAAATAAAACTATCTTTTCGGATTTTTTCGCGAATTTATTTGGATTTTAGGTTCCCGACGTTTGTGGGTAGGCTGTCTGTAACAACTATATATTCGAGACATCTAACACCTCAGTCTCTCCAGTGACCATGATTGCTGTAAAACATTCGAAACGTCTGGTACCAAAAATCCAAATAAATCCAAATAAATAAAAAGTTTTATTTAAAATTCCATAGATAGGTACATTTTACCAAAAATCATTGCGATTTGAAACAGTTAAATAATGTTAAACGAGTATAGTGATATACGAGTGTTGCACACCGCTATTCAGTTCAATGCCGGTAGCTTGTGCATAACGCGTTATTTACACACGCTCTCATTATAAAGCCATATGTAACATATGGCTCGATGTAAACGTGATACGTTTTAATACTTTTAATCTCTTTTATAACAACATCGCTACTGTTTACAGAAAACCTGTACAGATAAATAAAATTAATACCTCTACGACCGCGGACACGCCGGCGTTACAGTTAACAATAGATTTATTGGAAATTTAATTAATTTCTTAGAAATTTAAAATTGTAATGTCGAAGTCACAGCTTTTTACTAAATGCGTATCAAATGTGTACACGGCACTTTTAAGAAAAAAACAATTATAAAAATTTTGTCTGTCTGTATGTTTCGGCTTATCTCCGAATCGGCTGGACCGGTTTTAACGGGACTTTCAGTGGCAGATAGCTGATGTTTTAGGGAGTAAGTTAGCCTAACTTATTCATTTATTTTAGAAAAAGAATTAGGGTTCCGCGCAAAAAAGGAACCTAAAAAATTGTGAACAAAAACCATGTTCCTAGGGACACACCCAAGCGAAGCGAGGGTATGTCGCTAGTTTAGGTACTAAAAAATTATGTGGCGTAAATTTTAGCAACAGTATTGTAAAACTATCTTTTCGGATTTTTTCGACGAATATTTATTTTGATTTTCGGTTCCCAACGTTCGAAAAGCTTTACAGTAATTATGATCACGTGAGAAATATGAAAAAGATAGTACAATAAGTAATTACTTAAGATTTCAAATAGGTATTTACGTAAATCTGAGAAAGTTGGTCTTAATAGTAGTGTATTCGAAACCTCCACTCGTATTCAGTCCAATCTTATGAAACTTGTGCTTTTTATTAAGTCAGATTCATTAATTATTATTGACAAGTAAATTGTATCGAAATAAAATAATTTTTATATTTATTACATGTAAATTACCTCATTTTAACATTTACATTCGCCAATTTTTATGGTACGTTGTTGTATTTCTGCTTCGTTTGTTAGTTATATTATATAATATAAAAATTTCATTTATTGAACCCACTTCGTTTATGTTGCCGTTGTTGCGTGTCAATCATTTATTCACTAGAAGTCAGATAGCACGGACGTTATCTCGAATACATGATGATATATTCCCAAACGTATATGATTTGATATTCATGAAAGTTTTAGTCTTTCTCCGTTATATGTTTTAATAGCGACTCGCCGTCGCTTCGCTCGGGTTCGTTCCTAGCTTGCTTCCCAATACAAACTTCCATCGCCATTTTCACCCCCTTAAGGGATGATTTCCGGGATAAGAAGTATCCTATGTCCTTCTCAGGGTCTCAAGCTATCTTCTTACCTTTCATCTAAATAGAGATTACCACGTCACAAACTCGCATAGAAATTAGAAACTCATAAACTTTAACTCTTTATAATATTAGTAGCTATAGATAAAAAAAAAACATACAGCCGAATTGAGAACCTCCTTTTTGAGAAAGTCGGTTAAAAATGACATGCTGTGCAACAGTAAGCGCATCGCATGGGAACGAACGGCTGGACCGATTTTGGTAACTTCTTTATTAATGTTTTTTTATAGGGATGTATCGATACGCACTTCTGCCGATAGACACCGATACCGATGCGGACACTGTAGCCTTAAAAAAGGTATAAAAGGTAAAAAAACTGTGGGTTTATGATAGAAAATATAGAAACAAATGCATTACTTATATAAGTAATATTTATTTCGAATTTAACAAACTATCAATTATGTATTGAAAATTGTAATTTAACAGAATATTCGTTATTTTTTAAAATATTGATTAACAAAATGTCTTCAAGTTCAGACTAAAAAGTAATATTTAATATTCACATTTACAATATTTTATTCAGAAAGTACAAAATCCTTAAATTATTAAAAATGAATCAGTGTATCGGTAAATGAATATCGCCGATGTCGATATATCGGAAAACCGACGTATCGCCGATATATCTGTATCGGTATCGGATACATCCCTAGTTTTTTGTATAAATTCGGAAGACATTAATTCGGACGGCGTCTTTTTTGGGTCAATTAGTATTTAAAAATATCTTCTGTCTGGTATTTCTATAATATAGGATAGAGACAGCGTGTGGATCGAGGAGCTTAAGGAAATGAAACTTAATTTTAACTGTTCTTATTTGATATATATATTTAAATATAATTAAACAAAAAAGTCTAAAAACTGTTAATATGGTTTTTATTATATAATAATAATACACCTTTAAGTTTTAACGACTGAACTATCTTTTTAAATATAAATATATAATTAAATATAATACAAAAGCGTGCAATAGATACCTATCTAGCGAATAAAGCCGTGATGGTACAATTCCATTATTTTTGTTCAGAGATAGTTATGGGGCCAAATATGTTGCAAGAAAATATGCCTTTTACGCCAGAATTAACTTTTATGCTTGAGAAATAGCGTCTCTCAGGTACCTAATTTGTAGACCCATATTGAGTTGAAGTAATGGCGTGAAACCAAAATCCCAAATTTCTGTCCATAATTATGTTTCAAGATTTAATTTGAGATTATGAAGTTGACGAAATATTTTCGACCGACTTCTAAAAAGAGAAGTTACTGAATTTGTTTATATTTTTATAGACACGCTTATGAATCTACTTTCATAATTTATTTCAATGAATAAGTTAAAACAGGGAGGTTCTCATTTCGATATTGATTTTAAAATAAAACTTCACTTTTTTGTCTAATATTAAGTGTTCCTAGAAAATAATTATAAGTTGAGATAAATAGCAAATAACAAACACTTTGAACAAAGAACAAAAAAAAGAAAAGACAAAATCCGAAAAGATAGTTTTATTTAAAATGTCAAATATTCGCGTAAATCTAAGAAAGTATTATATTAAAAGAACAAAAAGTATAAACAAAAGATTATATTATGGTAGGTACTTATACTATACACTTTCCGACTTTATACTGAAGCTAATCTTTTTAAGAATCCTTACAAGTTTCTCATGACAATGTTTCCTTTACGTCTCGGTGAGGTCCGGTGTAATGAACTGTTCTTGTTGAATCGTGACTTTCATGGAACGACAAAATTTCGTCCAATACAGAATAACAATGTACGTATTTTGATGAAAGCTGATTTCATTTAATGTTTTTATTTTTTAACCATTTACTACTTATACGCCATAGGTTCATTTAGGTGTAATTGATCGAAAAATCACAAATTAATATTTTTTTTAATATCTTGACTGAAGGATTAGAAAAGAAAGGGATTTCTTCTTTTGTAATCTTTATTTTCAAATAAATTTGTTCGCTATTTGTTGATTTTTTGACTGAATAACGCTATATTATGACTTTTTTTAAATAAATATCTACAGGGTGTCGACTGATTGTCATATATGAAAATGAAACAAATGAGCTTAAACTCGAAGGTTTCCTAAAACCATTTGAGAATACTAGTGAAGCTAATAAGTGTTTTGATATATTAGCTGTATGCACGTTTTAACGGTTAGTATGGAATAATAATAGATAAAGTATATTTTATATGATATAGGTATAATCTCTAGCTTTCCTCAATAAACGGGCTATCTATTGCAAAATGAATTTTTCAAATCGGATTAGTAGTCCCTGAGATTAGCGCGTTCAAATAAACAAACAAACTCTGCCTCTATAATATTAGTATAGATTTAATCTTTTTAAACGGAATCCGTAATAGTATTACCAACCTTCCGGCGTCTCCCAGTAAGATCCGGTGTGAATCACCGTGTTGATATAACAAGCTTTGCGAAACTACGCGTGAAGACACATGCGCATGCAGTGTATAGGGCTGCTACCTTTCATTACTCAAAAATATATATTATATAAAAGTGTGTCTAGATATTAAAATACAGCTGTAAATCAAAATAGGCCAGGCAAAAATATTGCAGTTATTAGAAAGGAGTTATTTCTTAATAAAAAAAAATATTTTAATTTTGATGTTGATAACCCTATTTCATATTATTCGTGCATGTGTCGCCGCTGAGTCACTATGATCGCATTATGCGGTTTTATAACAAGCTCATGTTACATGGGCTCAGAGATGATAATCCTTAGACAAGACATTAACTTTGTACGTGCTCTTATTTAATCTATTCTACACATTGTTAATCGTGGAATATACAATAGCTTTCCCAAATCGTTAGCTGTTAGCTTTAACGTCAAATCAAAAGTATACGTTTGTGAAAAATTCATGAGTGTTATTATTGGGACTCAGTGATTTGTATAAAAGTGTAAAAATGGCAATGGACACTATGGCAGTTGAACTGCCGGACTTGACAACCCACACTCCACAGCCACCTGTAGAAGAAACGCCGGAAGAAAAGTGAGTATATTATAAAAAATTGTTCCTACTAATATTTACTGTGAAAGTTTTTGATTGATTGTATGTTTGTTGTTACCAATTACGCGTTAATCCTTAAAGGGATAGATCATGTCCTGCGCTAAAATATTTTTATCTGAATGTCTCGTGTGTATTTTACTGTGGTAAAAATGCGACATGGTCGCGTCTAAGTGAGATTGGATTACGATATTTGGAACCATCAATTTGTTACTAACAAATGTAGCTAAAAACAACGTTCCAATTCAAACGCTACACGAAATATATACCTACACTTATAAATTATTTATTCGTGAAATCAGTGACAGACATGTTATAAATATTTAAAGTAAAGGAAAACTTTCTTCTTTAATAAAATCTTACATTTTGTCCTAATTTGCTACTTTATCTAATAAAAGCCAATAACTTAAGATAGCTTACTGCTCTATATAATATCTAATTATTTAAATATAAATAGATCAAATCTCCGTGTTCGGTAAAAATAATAATTCAGTAACATACAGGTTAAGTACATGTAGAAAAGAAAGTAAGAACAAGTAACCGCTCGAAATCAAGTTTATACTTTGAATTGTTCGCATTTTAATGATCAAGTTGTAAACCTTACCATATATAAACAAATTATAATTAATATTTTATTCAAGGTGCTAAAAAATAGGTCACCCGTTCTCACTTAAAACTTTAAAAGCTCTCGAGCCGCTTGAAAAAACATTGAGTTTGTAACACAATACTGGATATACGTTGAAGAAAAATTTTAAGGGTCCGCTTTTAATTAGAAGTCTTTTAAACAGTAATTACTTCTAATATCTAAAATGACTCAAATAAAAATAAATGGCAAGTGTATCGTTTAATTTATATAATTAAGTTGCTAGAATCTGGGAGTAAATCGTAGATATGTCGTAAATTTTATGATTTTTGTAGATAATTTTAGACTAATCAAGAGTTATTTGAAAAATTTTAGTACTAGCGACTCACCCTCGCTTCTCTCGGGTTCATCCCTCGCTTACTTCCCAATACAAACTTCCACCCCGTTTTTCACCCCCTTAAGAGATGATTTCTCAGATAAAAAGTATCCTATGTTCTTCCCAGGGCCTCAAACTATCTTCTTACTAAATTTCGTCTAAATCGGTTCAGTAGATCCAGAGATTACCCCCTACAACGTCACAAACTCACAAAGTTTACCTCTTTTTAATATTAGTATAGACTAACTTTAAAAAGATGAACTGCAAGCAAAAGCGTGAGCTTTTATATATAATAGAGATATATGTGGTCTATAATAGCTAGCATACATAGTTATTGGGTTATGAACGCCTATAAAAGGATGGGGAAAAAACTTATCACGTCACAGCTATTAATGAGCATTTCTATGGCGTAGAGTTTCATGGCATTTAGGTCAAGTATTGATTGTGGTGGTAACACCGCGGTGATTCTCTCCACGCTTGTATATATTTTCATCTTAAATTATCTTATTAATGCTCTTGCAGTTCTATTGCTCTGACTTTTTTGGTTTTAGCACTCTGAATTCGGCTATTGATTTCGTAAGGCGACTTTACTTATCTCTATTAATTTTAAATATTTTGTAGCAACTCGCCCTGACTTCACCTACTTGTAATGTGTCGCATTGGTACGAGAACGTTCATATAAATGTTACATCTTACATATTATATACTGTAATATTTAAACCAAGAAACGGGACGATCAGGTTTATATTAGAATGGTAATATTTTGTATGTATGTTTGTTACTCCTTCACGCTGAAAATTGAAATAGATGTACGGATTTTGATAAAATTTAGTACTAATACAAATAGAATATGACTTGGCGTAACACATAGGCTACTGTCTGGCACCTAGGGACGCACCCGAGCGAAGTGAAGGTAAGCCGCTAGTTATTCCTAATTGCAGTGCTGGATTTACACTAGTAACACTGAGGGTGGGCACTAGCCCAGGGCGGAAAATTTCCAGGGGAGGCAAAATTAGAAGAAAAAAAAAACTTCGAGTTATCGATCTTTTTTTATTTTCTAAAAAATGAATAATTAAAAAAAAATTGTATTTATCAAAAATTAAAAAAATTGAACTTTATTCATATTATGCAAAATTTCTATAATGTGGCGGCATTTCTTATATTGCCCTGGGGCGGCGCTAAGGTTGAATCCGGCACTGGAGGAATTGAACTACGTGACCGGGAAGCTGTGGGCAAAAACGTTTAACCCTTTTTGGATTCATTCAGTCTTTTTAGATTGATTTCAATCGGTTCTCTATATGTATACATGGTAGAAACAACCCTCTTATAAAGTGAGGCTAGCTAGCTGTTTGCGGCAACGATCTAAATGGAAGTGTAACATGTGCGGCACCATAGCCAGTAGCTAATAGCTATATAGATAAATTGTTGTTTGTAAACTGGTTAATTGAAATTATTGTAAGTAGATTAATTAGCATTTTTTTTTCTTGATTTTAAATCTCGTATAAGTAGATACATGTATAATAAGGATATTATAAAAGTGAAAGTTTGTTTGTTTTTCTATTTATTTCAATGCGCTTATCTCTTAAACTAACGGTCAGAAATATAAATTCCAATTTCACAAACAAACTAAGCGAGCGGGTAATACCATATTAAATTATATAGCGCACTTTGTATTTGTGCTAATTAAGGCAATTACTCTACGGCAAAACTATTAAATTGTCAATAAATAATAACTCTACATTATAATATTTTAATTTTCAATATATTTTAATATGTAATTTCCTCCTGAGATATAGAGCATAAGTGTACGAGCAGAGTTTTTCAAGTCAGTCCAGAACAATGACACTAAATATCTAAAATATTTTTTCATCTATACATATAATAAAATTGTAACTAAGCCTAATGTGTGCATTAAATATTTTTTGGAAAATCTTATTAAAATAGACATTATTATCAATATAGAGACCGAATCTATTGTTTTTAAAATTTTTGTCTGTCTGTTACCGCATCACGGAAAAACCACTGGAGGGATTTTGATGAAATTTAGTAGAGTGATAGCTGGTTATCTGGGTCAACATATAGAATACTTTTTACCGCGAGAAAATGTCTCATTTCTGAGAAAAAATACAAAAACTGCAATGTAAGAGTATGCTAATATGTAAAACCTAAGAATTTGGTTTTTGGTCATCTGAACGCGGGCGGCGCCGCGGGAAATGCTAGTATATAAATATTTTTAATTCAAATTAAGTAGCATTAAAGCAAATATGTGACTAAATTGTGAGTAATAAATATTTTAATGTTTCCTTTTATTAAAAGTAAGTCGTGTACGCTCTTTCGTGACCAGATTGCATTATAGAATGTTTTACATAATTTATAAATGCATTTTATTCTATTTTATGGCTTATGGTTGAAATAAATTAGAACACACAGAAATTAAAACAATTATAAAATAAACAAATTAAATTTGCGTAATTGTAGAATAATTAATAAGTAACAATTATTTTTTTAATAAAAATTGATTATTCTTCCAACTACAAAGGTTCGAATATATCAAACAAATCCATTTCTTATCAAAACCCCAGTCATTCGTTTATAACTTAATACATAGAAGTGTAACGACAAAAATACGTTTTCACTTTCAATTTTCACGCCATTTGATAATAAACACTGGTTTTAACTAGGTACATAATTAGATCGTTTGTTTCGCCACATTCATTACTGATTTATATCTGGACTTCAAAATCGTACACGAACTGTTTACATTATTCTACTGCTTTTCTAAGCACTGTTTATTATTTACTAGCATTGCCCGCGGCTCCGCCCGCGTTCAGGTGACTAAAAACCGAATTCTAAGGTTTTACGTATTAGTATACTCTTACAATGCAGTTTTTGTATTTTTTCTTAGAAATGAGATATTTTTCCGCGGTAAAAAGTATCCTATATGTTGACCCGGATAATCAGCTATCATCGTACCAAATTTCATCAAAATCTGTCCAGTGGTTTTCTCGTGATGTGTCTGTCTGTCTGTCTGTCTGTTACAGACAGACAGACAGACACATCACATTTAAAAAAATTCTAAAAACTATAGATTCGGACTCTGTATCGATAATAATGTTTATTTCAATTAGATTTGTAAAAAAATATTTAAGGTACAGATTCGACTTAGTTACAATTTTATTATAGATATAGATTACATTATTGTAAATAAAACTGTCTTTCGGATTTTTTCGCGGATTTATTTAGATTTTTGGTTCCCGACGTTTCGAATGCTTTACAGCAATCATGGTCGCGGGAGAGACTTAAGGTGTTAGATAATAATCAAAGCTAAAATTAAATATATAATATTCCATATTCAATTATAAAACTTATTAAAATTATAAAAATGTTTACAATTAAAATTAAAAAAATATTGTAAGGTTAGGTACCTTACAATATTTTTTAATTTATTTTATTTTGTGAGTAGACTGTCTGTCATAACTATATAATGCCTTTGAGACATGTAAAACCTTAGACACTCCCATAGTTTGACTAATTAACGATAATATTATAAAAAAAATGTTTTCATTAGTGCATAATATAAGAACAGTCCCCTGATGGTGCTGAGTCTGTGTTTGTTAGACCTAGCCTCAGAAACTACTATACGGAATTTCATATGGTTTCAATAGAAACATGAATTTTCTAGAAATATTATATATACTGTAATTTATAAACATATTGCCAATATAAGCACGCATAATAAATACCGATAGTATTATGATATTTTGTACTAAGTCGGAAAATATTTCCCTTTTAAGTATTTCCGTTATATTACACATGCTAAGGGCATCTAGGGCTTTATATTATCAGCAGGACTTCTAATATTAGCAGAGATGACATTTTCTTATTGCACGGCGTAAGTCGACATCACGCAAGCTGAATAACAATATCGCCTATGATTATTTCAAATGTCTAGACTACTGAATTGTACACGAAAATCCCAAGTAAACATAAGTTCTTTGTCTTTCATATAAGACAGAGAATTGCTTG